AATCCATAAAAAATCTTATAAAGAAAATTAAATTGAATCTGCATTTTTAGAAAATTATTAATAATTTTTACAATAATGAAAATTTGTAAAACTCCAAGTGGCAAAATCTAAAAATGCATAATTAATGATAAATAATAATAAATTCATTTAGATTAATTTTCTTTAAAAAGCTTGTTCTTCCATATAAATATATCATCTTTGCACAATTTCCCACATTTAAATTATCTTCAAAACCAAGAAGATTCTAAGAAAATTTGTAAATATACAATTAAACTTCAAGCTTAGGAGTGGGCCTCCAAATTAGAATTGAGAGAGATATGCACAATGAATCAAGGAAACTACACAATATTCTCCCCCTAATTTTATCTACTTAATTTTTTGTGGTCGATCACCCTTACAGGAGATATCCAAGAAATTATTACTTTGCTTTAACCTATAGTTATCCATAATATAAATGGTTAAAATATTTAGAATTAAAGCTTTTATATTTGTGCTACAACAACAACAAGCCTTTGTCCCACTAAGTGGGGAGCTTTTATATTTGTGCAATTGATTGAATTTTGGATAGACATGGATTAGGTCTTATGATGTGACAATTACGCTTGAATAAAGATCTTTCTCCTTGGTCCATCACTTTCACTCACTCCATTATAAATTAAGGAAGCATAACCTAGTATGCATTTCCCATTTGGAATGTTGGATTAACTGAAGGACTCCTCATCGATTCCAAGAAGAGCTGAAGAGAAGCTGAGGAGAATGACAAAGTTGAGCATTAGAGGCTCCCCACCCAAGCAAGCATTCTAAAACCATCAAAACCCCTAAAGCCACATGAACAAGGCTGCCAACATCTTCCTCTCCCTCCTCTCATATAGCTTAAGACAATCTAATCATCTCCACAAAAATTCTATCCACTTTTCCTAGATAATTCTAACTATCTTCAAAAGCCTTTTGCACTCTGAGTCCAAATCAAGTTAGTATTATAGCACTAATTCCAACCTATAAGATTTTATAATCATTTATCAAAGACTAACAAAAAATCTATAATTTTTTATAGAATCAAAACCAATCGATCAAGAGAAGAAAGAACTAAGAAAAATTCAGAGAAACCGAAGTCTTTCTCCAATTTTACAAATCATACGTCCAAGCAGATAGCAAACCAAAGTAGCATTATGTTTGCTACACTTGAAAGGTTGTTTTCAAATTGGTATCAGCAACATAGCATCAAAAAAATGAAAATTGTCAAATAGGGGAAAAAAAAAAGAAATATAAGGAAGAGAACATAGAAGACTAAGACTATCATGCACTTCATTGATCTACCCGATAACATATCTACAAAAGAGCTATTGTTCATATAAGAGTCTAAAAAGACAAATACAATCCAAAAGGAACCATGGTTAAAGAAGTGGACCATAGGTTTAGTACCAATAGAGGTCAATCACAATTCACAAGGCCTAAAGGCCGAACATGATGTTAGCACATGTTTGTTGGACTCAAAGAAGCGAATAATCTTTATGAAGATGCTCCAAATGAAACGAAAAATGTGAAATCTCTTTGTGCTAGTCCTTTTATAATAGTACAATTCACTACTTGGGATGATACATAATTTTTAATGTCGTTCAGGATTGATCAATTTATGATCAAACAAAATATGAAAGCATTATCAAAAGATTGGCCATCATGCAGATAGGTTGTATCAAATAAATTATGCAAAAGGATTTTATCAACAAAAATAATGATCAGATGGGATGATTTCATCGAACGAACATGTAATCTGGCTTGGATTAAAAGTAATTCTTATTTTGACATAATTAAAATAAACATTAGCCAACTAATGAAATCATTTTTCAGTTCTCATCATTTTATGATTGATAGCAATTGCATGAACAAATGGAATAAAAGGAGAGCCATATTTCACAAGGCACGCAATAAAAATTTACATAGATATTCTAATAAGAGTATAAAGACAAATACAAAAAATTTAAAAAAAAATTAAATTGAAAAATAACAATTTTAACACTAAAATCTAGAAGTGGGCAGCTAAATTAGGATATGATGAAGATTTATGTTAAGAAGATTAAGGAAGCTACCCAATATTCTCTCCTTATTTTTCTCCATATATTTCTACATGATCAACAACCATTTAAAAGGAGATCCAAGGAAAAAGTGCCTTAAGTTAAGCTATAACTATCCAAAATCTAAATGGACAAAATATTTAAGGGTAAAGGTTCCTCAAATTTGTGCAAATAGTTGAATTTTGGTTAAACATGGATTTAGCTTCTATATTTTTATAAATAAGAGGTCTGATGATGTAACAATTAAACTTGAAGCAAATGAATGGTTTTTATCCTCAATCTCTCTCTCCCCCTTTCTCCAATACTCAGCTAAGGAGATCTACCAGAAACTTTCGCTCTATGCCACATTGATACAGTAAATGATGAGATTATGTTGACTATTAATGGGGGATACCAAAAGTATCTTTTGTGCCAGCGTGAAAATCTTGATTTTGATGCTTCATAGATTAATCTACATGAAGCACATCAATAATGCCAAGATTTACTTAATGAATATCACTTACTCAATTTTTCAAAGCTATTATGTTTCAAACAATGTAGATTTAATTTAAAATATGAATTTTATACTCATAAAAAACAAAATATATATGAATTAGGATGAGAAAATTGAAATTCTAAAAATTGATTTTACGTTAGTAATTTCTTATTTTCTAGAATAAAGTTTTTTTCTTTATTATGTCTAAGATGTCATAAGAGTTTACGTTCTAATTTTAATTTTATAAACTACTCAAGCCAATTCAATGGCATTGTTTATCCATCTATTCTTCATTGTTGTACTAGTTTGATTGGGAGTCCACTTGATTCTTCTATTGTTTTAGCCCTTCAATTGGGTTGTGAATTAAGTTCTAAGCTTTGGCTTGCACTTCAACGCATATTTTTCTTATTTTCAAATCAAAAATTGAGATTCCTTGCTTGACTTGCACAAATTCCACTATTGTTATCTAGTCCTTGACTCATGTTGATCCTTACAGGCTTCTCAACCGGAATGGCTGCCTATGACTTATTTTCATTATTAGCTAATCGAGATTTTTGTACCTACTCCTTATGAGATTCACAATTTTTATTGGTTAATAACTTAAATTTGGGATCTTGAGGCATATGAAGGACAATCCTAACAATATTCACTTTGAGTTAGCTTGTTTTTCTCCTACCTTAAGAGTTAGATTGGATGTGATTCTTTATAGCCTGGTATAGTTAGAGACCTTTTTTTTTTAATTGATGTGAGGTATAGATTGATATTTTGATTACTTCTTTCCTTTTTCACCTTTCATATTCTATAATTTTAGTAAATGATCTGCCCAAGAAAATATTTTTGTCAAAACTCAACAAATAAATTTTTTGAAAGAGGTGTGAATTCCATCAATATGTGAATTTCCATAATCCTGAAATCCTACAGGAGATCTTTATCAGGAAATTATGGAATTATCATTTGCGAGAATTATATATGTTTCTATTTTCATCTAAAAAGATGACTTTGTTTAAATTAATGGTTTGTATATTGAAATTTAAGTTTTGTACAAGATGTCATGCATTAGAACATATAACTGCATTTGAAAATCTTAAATCCTTGAAAAATAATACAAACATTCTCTATTAATAATAAACCATTTCTCTATAAACTCCTCGAGATCCAGTCCTCTTCTCTCTCCTTTAAAAAAACTCCATAATATTTACATAATTTTCATGTATTCTCCCAAAATAAAACTCATCTTATCTAATAAGCCTCCTTGAATTTCTCTAATAAAGTAGCAACAAACCTTCAAGTTTAAATCTATCTCAATCCTATTCATATTAAATCCCATTCAATCCATGACCCTACAGAACTTAATAACGATTTATGCTCTCCTGTGCATGCATCTTACGCTATTATTGTGTATGAACAATCAAATTATAGTTGACAAAAACAGTGCCATCATCATAAGCTTGGGCAGCGATCAATTAAACGTCAAAACATAAAAAAGCAACAAAAAAAGGGTTTGGATCATATAAAAAACTTGAAAATAATATTAAACAAAATAATCCAAGAAAATAAAAAAAAACCAACTTGAATCCACAAAACATTTGCGATCACAATAAATTTCCGACATGACAACTCACTATCTTTTGGGAGTATTTATCTTCTCCTACTCAAAGATTTTAAATCATCTTCTCAAAATCAACATTAAAAAAGTTAAAAGTTCAATGTAGATGAACTTGTTTGTGCTTTTACTTCAAATGCATTATCAGTATCAGTATCTGGAGAATAAAATTATATAACCAAGAGAATTAACAGGGATATGAATTATGAGCCTATATATTTCATATACAATTCAGTTAGTTTATCGCATTTAGATTTCATTATTTTCTAAGGGTTATTTAGACAATATCATTATTTTTGTTAACATTTTATTAACAATTTATTAGCATTTTGTTAATAGTTTGTACACAGTTTATTATTCTTCCATTTATAAATGTAATTATTCTAAGTGTTGTAGATAACTAATGATATGAAAGAAATTCTTATTTTAGATGTCTAGGCTCTTTTTCTTCTCCAATTTGAGATTTGATCCATGATGAAATGAGAGACTTGTTAGGATTTGGAGTCAAATTATCTCCTGGTATAAACACGAGAATTGCTTATATTGTTAATTTTTATAAGTTCATCTTTTCTGTCTTCTCCATTACATTTTTTACTTTATTTTCAAGGTCATCCTGCATCATATATAATCTCTTGTGATTGTGTATAAATGGTGGTTGAAATGCATGTAGCTTCAAATGTTTATAATGACATGGTATTTGAATTATATTGTTAACAGAAAAAAAAATGAAACTAATTGCAACAATAGAACTATAACACTGATAAAATCATAAGGTAATAACTTATCAGAAATAAGATCCTTAGCAATGAATGCTTGTGAAGCAAGAAAGAAACATCCACGATTGTTTCACCTTTCCCCATTCAGAGCCAATGCCACTGCATCTCATCTTCAAGTGTATCATCTTTGATCCAAGTTCAGTTTCAACCTTTTTCCGTAGATATGCTTCATCGGGACCAAATGAATCTAGATAAGTCATGTAACGTCTATATGCCGCTCTCAGAGCATCTTCTAAATAGTCTGGCAAACGTCCAACACTCTAAAAATAATAATAATAAAATAGCAATCAGAACAAATCAGCTTGCAACTTCTATCGATGCTAAATAAAAACAAGCATGATCAATAAAAAAGGCTGACCTCCCCAGTTAAACCGGCCAGGTCATCAAGTGTCATTCTAAGAGAAACTAAAGTACTACCAAATTCAACTGAAGCTACAGCTGCACGAAAGACGTTGGCCAAAACCTCCTTCCCAAAAGTATCATCAGTAGTCTTAGACAAAGACTTTTTTGTTTCGTTGACAACAGAATCTGGGATCTCATTCCAAGATACCGCCATTAAATCCTTGAATGCGGCTTCTATGTCCGGATCGGTTATGACAGGCAACTTAGTTATGGCTGGTGCACTGTACCCCCGTCCAAAGCTTCCTACAAATGGAAGATGGAAACCTGCCAAGTGCCAATGAGCATGCATCACAATGGCAGCATCCACTTAAACGTAAGATCATATGAAATAACAATTGCATGACGTCAAAAATACCAGCAACTCAGGTGAACTTACAAAAACCGTATTTCAGATTCAGTGAAAGAAAATAAGATTTAAAAATAAATTAAAAAACCCCCAAATTACCACACAGGAAAAGCACGAGGAAAAAATTTTGGAAGCTCCAGACATAACAACAGGAAAATCCTAGGCAGCGGCATCCATCTCGTGGTGTGATGGTTAATTCAAAGACAATTATATCATACCTTGAAGGTGATGGCTACCCGTGACAGCGAGAAACAACACGGTGGAGTACTTGCCCTTGTACGGGATTCGGTTGTCGAAGGCCTTCGGCCTCGGGATGACATCCGAGAAGGAGGAAGAAGAAATCAAGCGGGACAAAAAGGAAACGGAAGGAGAAGAGCAGTGGTAGCGGAAGAGGGGTAGTCGACGCAGAGGTGCGATCGCCATCGTTGGAAAACTCGAGACGCATAAAACCACTCCTTTCCAGGCTGATATAAGAAGTTCGGAGATCTGACGTACTTACGTAGGGCGTAAAACGGCTCGTCGTTCCCCACAGCTCGTGTTGGATTCGTGCAGTGGCTCGTGGCGGCTAACGAGTCGAAACCAATAAAAATTTGTTGATATTATTATCTACACTTGTCTATTTACATATATAATATGTAAACTTTCATATTTACCTATAGCACTCAAGACTTATTAACAAATTAAAAATATTAAAATATCATTACTCGTCACTTCTTAAATTCAAGTACATATTATTTTTTAAATTTATGACATCAAAATATCATACATATAAAAAATAAATTTTAAATACTAGGTATATATATATACATAAGGGCTATGTACTATATATATATATATATATATATATCGCATGAGTAGATTTTAAATAATCTAAAATTATTTATATTTTTATGATAATTACATATGTATAATCTCATATTTCACATATATCACATATATCTCTAGGGCTGTCAATTTGGCTCGATGTTTGCGAACAGCTCGTGTTCAGCTCATTCGTTAAGCCTAAAGAGCCGAACACAAACAAATTTTTAAGCTCGAAATGTGAACGAGCCAAACACGAACAACTGTTTGTTCGCTTGTGTTCGGCTTGAATTGGCTCTAAAATAATTAAATATTATAAATTATAATTAACTAGATTTTCTTAAAACTAAAATTAGCATATTTTATAAAATTAAAACCTATTAACATATATAACAAACTATTTATAATAATATACTAATATTACTTATATAAATATTATATATTTATATAATAATATAATATAAAATGTATAACCCTAAATATATCTAAAAAACTCTAACCGGCTTCATTCGTCTATCGAAACTTCTCGCCTTCTCGGGTTCGGCTGCCTCTCTCGTTTATCCGTCTTCTTTGATCTCTCAAAACCCTTTCGGTCGCGACGGTTTAGGGTTTGTCGTCTGTGTTGTTCTGCTAATATATACTTCTATTCTCCTCGAATAGTTGGTGTTGGCTCGATTGCTTGGTTGCTCGATAGTCTTGCTTCGTTGCTCGATAGTCTTGCTTGAAGGTGATGGCTAATTCAAAGACAATTATATCATACCTTGAAGGTGATGGCTACCCGTGACAGCGAGAAACAACACGGTGGAGTACTTGCCCTTGTACGGGATTCGGTTGTCGAAGGCCTTCGGCCTCGGGATGACATCCGAGAAGGAGGAAGAAGAAATCAAGCGGGACAAAAAGGAAACGGAAGGAGAAGAGCAGTGGTAGCGGAAGAGGGGTAGTCGACGCAGAGGTGCGATCGCCATCGTTGGAAAACTCGAGACGCATAAAACCACTTCTTTCCAGGCTGATATAAGAAGTTCGGAGATCTGACGTACTTACGTAGGGCGTAAAACGGCTCGTCGTTCCCCACAGCTCGTGTTGGATTCGTGCAGTGGCTCGTGGTCGGCTAACGAGTCGAAACCAATAAAAATTTGTTGATATTATTATCTACACTTGTCTATTTACATATATAATATGTAAACTTTCATATTTACCTATAGCACTCAAGACTTATTAACAAATTAAAAATATTAAAATATCATTACTCGTCACTTCTTAAATTCAAGTACATATTATTTTTTAAATTTATGACATCAAAATATCATACATATAAAAAATAAATTTTAAATACTAGGTATATATAAATACATAAGGACTATGTACTATATATATATATATATATATATCACATATATCACATATCTGTCAATTTGGCTCGATGTTTGCGAACAGCTCGTGTTCAGTTCATTCGTTAAGCCTAAAGAGCTGAACACAAACAAATTTTTAAGCTCGAAATGTGAACGAGCCAATGGTAACGAGCCAAACACGAACAACTGTTTGTTCGCTTGTGTTCGGCTTGAATTGGCTCTAAAATAATTAAATATTATAAATTATAATTAACTAGATTTTCTTAAAACTAAAATTAGCATATTTTATAAAATTAAAACCTATTAACATATCTAACAAATTATTTATAATAATATACTAATATTACTTATATAAATATTATATATTTATATAATAATATAATATAAAATGTATAACCCTAAATATATCTAAAAAACCCTAACCGGCTCCATTCGTCTATCGAAACTTCTCGCCTTCTCGGGTTCGGCTGCCTCTCTCGTTTATCCGTCTTCTTTGATCTCTCAAAACCCTTTCGGTCGCGACGGTTTAGGGTTTGTCGTCTGTGTTGTTCTGCTAATATATACTTCTATTCTCCTCGAATAGTTGGTGTTGGCTCGATTGCTTGGTTGCTCGATAGTCTTGCTTCGTTGCTTGATAGTCTTGCTTGGTTCATTGGTTAATTGTTTGGCTACCTATGTGTTATCTCTGAGTATCTTTTTTCTACTATTTCATATTTATCTTCAGGTTCGCCTCTTATCTTAAATTTTTTAAAATTTCTTTTAGATTTATCTAGATTTCTTGAGTGAAAACTAGTTTTGTAGGGTTTTGGCAGTAAAATCTTGCATGTTGCATTTATATCTAAATTTTTTTATGGATTAGATCTGATAAAAGAGTTTTGTTATGAAATTTAGTTCGGCTATTGTGCATTTGTGTGTCGATTCGTACAGGTTTAGGTGTATGTCCTGTGGTTTAGCTATTGCCTTTAAATCATAAATTTTTCTTTTCTTATGGATGACTTTGTGAAGACTGAATAACACAATCCTTCTTTCATTTAGTTTTTCAAAACAATAACATTTCTTTTTCTAAACTGTTTTTGAATTTCAGTTTCACGTTGGTGGTTTAGGGCATGCATGTTTGTGAAGTGCATGTAAATGGATATATTATTCTCATTTTGTCAAATCGTAATGCTTGGGTTTATGCATGCTAAAAAAGTAACATATTGCTCATAGGGCTCCACTTAAAGCTTTAAGTTGGCTTAACTTGTTTATGAACAAAAAAGAGTGCAAGCACATCAAGCTATAACTGAGAACTAGTCCTCAACTCATCTCTTCTTTACTTTCTCCTACTCAAGATATTGTTCTTAAAGGATGGTTACCTTGGACATCTCTCTATTTGCATGCTAGATATGATTCATATGTATATTAAAATGACATGTATATGACTGATGCGGATCATCAAATGCTATGTAATATAAATCATGTGGAGAAGAAGTTTTTCTTATCTAAAATGTTTTATAAGATTGTTTTATCAACTATTTCTCTCTCTCTCTCTCTCTCTCTCTCTCTCGCCCTCCCTCCCTCCCTCTCCTCTCTTTCTTATCTAAAATGTTATATAAGAAGTATTGAATAGTTTCTTTATTGTAGTATAACAGTATGCTGCAAAGACTAATAGCCAAATAATCAATCTCATAATAGTTATATCTATTAGCATCTCCATGGAGCCTATATATATACAAATGCAATTTGCCCTAAATAATAAAGATGCGGGTAAATGCTTGGGGGGTTATTTGGGGGAAATTTGCATATCATATAAGAGAGTGTTTAGGGCATGCATCTTTGTGAAGCTTGGTCTTTATATCTAAATGTGTAAACCCACTCTTTCTCAGAATGAAATGGTGTTATTGTAAATAGAAATATTGGGGGTTGGTTTTATAAATAAAAAAAAATTGGGTGATAAACCAATAATTGCCCCTTTCCTTTCTGCACTTTTGAAAAATTAGTCTAGTGACTTGCTGAATTGGCTACGTTTGTATTTGTATATATTTTCTGGCCAGGCCAATTGAAGAAAATGGTTAATGAAGAATTTGTAGTTATATCATAAAAAGTTATGACAGTTTTTATGCCTTATACATGTTATATTTCACTTGTTTTCTAGATGGAGGGAGAGTTTTCAAAGCTACTATATGTTGTTTACTAGCTAAAGAATGAATCTTCTCTTATTTTTCTATATTTACACATATCCATTATAAACCAGTAATGTTTGCATGTATGTATGCATATATGAATTAATACTAATTCCGTAGTTTTGATTTCAGTTCGTGTGCAAATGCAAATATGTCTGAATTAAATCTTTCACAATCGAAATCATCCAACAATCAGTTGCTACCAGAAGCTCATAATAGCAACGAAATTGTCATTCTTAATTTACAAAGTACAGAGCCAGAAGTAGTACCTCAAGTTGTCATTGATAATAGCAGTGAAAAAGTTTTTAATAAGAAGGGTAGGAAAAGGAAGTCAACTGTGTTGGAGTATTTTATAGAGGCAATATTTCCGATTAAAGGGGTCCAAACAACTTTTTGGCAGTGCATTTGTTGTCAAACAAAATTTCAAAAATCTAAAACATAAACTACTTCTCAACTTTTACGTCATGTGAGGGAATGTGGACAAATCAAAGCTAAAAATAAGGAAGCCCTTAATAGTAAGGATGTTTATTTGGCTTATTTGCCACTAACTCATATTCTTGCAGAGGAGATACTTATGATGAATGCAGTATGCAGACTTGAAAGCCTGGATATTGCAATAGATGTTGCTCATGCCATCACTTATCTTCATATTTATACAGGTATGTTGAATGTGTTGGATTCTTCTGGTTTTGTCGTATTGCAACTGACATAATAAATTGATATTTACACTTATAACACCTTGGTGTTGTAAACTTATACATGAAAGATGTATTTTATGTTTAAAAAGATAGTGATGGTGGTATTTTTGATACGATGTTAAAGATTTGAGTGGTATGTATGTAAGAATTATGTGATATGTATGTAAATGCCCCTAATATAAATGGTATTTAGGTGGTATTAATGCAAAGAGTATATTTTGGATGTTAGATATGTAAGTACATAGTAATTGGGAGGTATGCATGTAAATGCCCCAGATTATGCACCTTGTCATTTAACACCCCCTTGATAGTAGTATACTTTTGGTTTTTTTTTTTGTTTTATTGATAGGTTTGCAAAATCCTTCAATTTGTGGAATCTTATCAGAAGGAACATATGCTTAGCCCTCTGCTAGTTATACTCTGTGGGCCAGTAGAACAGTTTCACTTTGCAATCTTATCAGAAGGTATGCATGTAAATGCCCCAGATTATGCACCTTGTAAATGCCCCTAAATTATGTGATTTGAGTGGTATGTATGTTAAATACATAAGAATTTTGTGATATTTATGTAAATGCCCTTAATATAAATGGTTAAGTTTATGAACTTATCATAGTTATGAGAATGGGGGAAATTAGCATTTTTTTTATATCTCTGCCCTGTTTTGTTAAGATGCATTCATTAACTGAAAAAGCTACACTTTTAGTGAAGCATTGAGTGCATCCAATTATTTAGATTGAGAAGCACAAGCTGATAATTTTAAATTTTCTCTTGTATATTTGTTTACCGTTAATTCCATGTATTTTATTATTTTTTTTTTATTTGACTGTTTTATCCATGCATATATAATTTGGAAATTCTAGATTCATTGTTGGTCAAGCACAAATATGGGAGGTATTATGGTTACTAGTTCTCTGAAATCAAATTTGAAAACCAATTAGGAGGCAGAGAGGAATCCATGAATTGATTTTATGAATTTTACTTTAGACGAAGGAGGCAGCAAGTAAACCTATTAAATTATGGAATTCATCAATGTCATCGCATATGATCTTATCATATAGTAATCCACTGCCATAACCGCTAGTTTAGTATAGGAAAGCTTGGTTGGACCCATGGCTTGCTTGTTACTAAGTTCTTTTGGAAGAAGAATAATATTAATTATTTTATTTCCTTATATTTGTATTATATTTTTTTTCTTTTCCTGCATTATTGGTCCTTATGTCCTTATAAATAATGCAATTAACATGCCCAGGTTTCTTGACCTTAGCTGGGCTCCTCCTCAGAGGAGGAGAACATAATTTGCAGCCTCTTCGTCAGAATTGGAAGCAGGTCTGCTTATGCATATATATGCATAGTTAAAAGCCAACCTCAAAATTAAGTTTCGACAGCAGAATTCACTTAAGAATCTGATTTTTATTTTTTTTTTAATCCCATAACCAAAATAAATAGTATTTCAGTTAAAAAATCAGGCTTTTATTGAAACATGTGGTCTTTGATTGCCGCCCAGTTGGCGGGAAGAACAGACAACGATATAAAGAACTACCGCAATTCTTGCTCCAATGGTCTGAGCTCGTGGTTTACAGAAATTAGTTTTAGTAGTTTGAGTTGCATGTAAAACATAAGAAGAATTAAATGTTCAATACAATTATTTTTAGATTTTGATTTTTATTTTGAGATTTTATTTGTATTTTTTGTACTCTTGTTTAGTTTGTACATTTTAAAATTTGTAATAAATTGATTCTTATTTTGTAAATTTTTGTCAAATAATATTAATATTCTTGTATAAAATTTTGTAATCAATTTTGTAAAGTTTTTTGAGTTCATCATTTTTTTAAGTTAATAAATCTTTGAATTTTTTTATGAAATTTGTTCTTGAAAAATTTTTAAACAAAATTA